TAGAAATGTACAATAAGATTTTTTTTTTTCTAAGACTGGCTGAAAATTGTCTTATTTTCCCAGAAGTCTTTTCTGAATGATTGTAAGTGGAATAGTGTTTTTATGCAAAATCCCAGGATGTTACTGCCTGCATAGCCAGTCTTTGAAATTATAAAAATTTAAAACTGTGCTACAATTGTAAAACATTTAATAATTTATTTATCTTAAATTTCCTTTCTAATAGACATTTCCCCCTGTGAGCACTGGGAAGTTCGTGTAGGTTTTAAAAGGAAATCTGTTTCCAATACAAATAACATTGAACCAAAGGTTTGTTTTCTAAAAAAAAAAAAAATAATTTAGCCTTACACTAAGAATATATATTGATACAGGCAAATGTGCCCAGTCTTTCAATACTTCCCACTCATATACCTATTGACAAGCTTCATTGAACAAGTATAACTGGATATGCAACTACATTAAGATACTATGCAGTTTCTTAAATATCAGCTTTACAGCATGCTAAGTGATAGAGCAATTACTGTACTCAAAGGACAAAGAGGAATCATTATACAGGTATAACACAGACCATTGCATCTGCTGGCAAATGCTAAACGGAAAAATAATTCATCCTCCGCATTGAAAATGCTTGCAAAGGCACCTCTACGAGGTCTTCTTGTATGTACAGTAATACAGCTGATGAAAGAAAAAATATTGTAAAAATAGAAAGCAGGTGGGGATGGAAAAAAATAAAGTGAAGGTGAAAATGATTATGACAGTACACTACATTGGATGGAATTATTATTATTGTGACAAACCGTGTAACTAATATAAGGCCATGTGTTTATAAACATGGTAAACACTTATGTTGACAATTGTTCATGGCCACCGAAGTATTGGCTGTTTGGAGGTAATGTATCTGGTACCCATAATGCACAGTGTGGAATAGATCATTGACAAAGATGCTACGCAGCAACACTGAATCGTACGTTGGACCATGTGTGTGTGTGTGCGGTGGGGAGTCTTGAGAATTTTTATTCATTAATGACTTTTGTTAGTTCACTTATTACTGTGGGGGTTGATTATTTATGTCAGTATATTCTTAAGAGGTATCGGTAGGCTCTCATTAAGAGCCAAGGCATTAAGGCTTTCACAAGTGCAATATTGTGTTTATGAGCAGAATACGGTAATAGGAGATTATATCTTTATATGTAGTGCCTTGTAGCCTGGGATAGTTATAAACCTTTGACCTTGCTGATCAGCCTGGGGTTCAGCATTGGTAAAGGTATCTGTAGGTTTTTGTTTAGAGCCAAGATATGAAGCTATTTGCTTTTATTTTCTGTTATTGTATTAGTAGGCTCATTAATGTGAGTATTACCAACAATCAAACTATCTGACCCCTGATCAATCGGGCTTTCGCCAGATCACTCCACTACAACTGCCCTCTTAAAAGTTTGCAATGACATCCAAACTGGCATGGAACAAGGAGACCTAACTGGAGCTATTTTCCTTGATTTTGCAAAGGCCTTTGACACAGTAGACCACAACATTCTACTGCACAAACTCAAAAACTCAGGTATTGGTGATTGTCCGCTAACCTGGTTTCGATCGTATGTATCGGATCGCTCGCAATATATGTCCATTTCTGACAGCGACTCCCTCTCCCAGTAATGTGTGGTGTTCCACAGGGTTCCATTCTAGGCCCCCTACTATTTACATTATTTATAAATGTCTGCCTAATGTCTGCAAATTCTCAAATGTACACATGTACTCAGATGACACAGTTATCTATGTAAGCAAATCCAATCTACCGCAGTTTGAGGCTATGCTCCAAGACCAGTTTACAGAGGTAGAAAAGTGGATCGCAAAAAACAAATTCTTCCTAAACACCGACAAAACTGTCACAATGATCTTTGGAACAGTACCTAAATTACACAAATTACACAATTCCCACCTATCCATCAAAACAAATTCAAATAGCACACTGACTGCAGTCCACTCTTTCAAATACTTGGGTATGTTGTTAGACCCCAATCTATCTTTTGGCCTCCACATAGAAAAACTTGCATCTAAACTTTATCCAAAACTAGGTGCCCGGTACAGAAACAAATCCTGCCTAAGCCCTACAGTAAAGGAAAAGATTGCACAGCAAATGCTGATGCCATTAATTGATTATGGGGATGTAGTATATGCATCTGCACCGGAATCCCACCTTAATAAACTCAATACATTGTATAACTCGTTCTGCTGATTTGTGCTACAATGTAATTACAGGATCCACCATTGTGATATGCTAAAAGAACTAAACTGGCTGTCGCTGGAAGCCTGATGCACCCTTCATCTATCCAGCCTTGTGTTTAAGAGCTTTTCTGGGAAACTCCCACCGTACCTGAGCAGAATGATCTCCTCGATTGTTCCCACCTCCTATAACCTCCGATCCAGTACTAGCGCTTTATTTAGTCTACCACGATACAAAAAGAAAGCAGCCTGATCCTTCTTCTCCTACAGAGAGCTACAATTGTGGAACAACCTCCCACACACTTTAAAATCTTTCCCAAGCCTAAAGTCCTTTAAGAGATCCCTCTCTACATCCCTCAAAACAGAATGCACCTGTCATGGTTGATTATATATTTCCTACCTGTTCTATGTTAAATTGTGTATATATTGTGAATTAATGTTGTTTTTGAATTTAATTGCACCATATTGTATCAATGCAATGTTTTGTGGACGCAGTACATACTTGAAAATGAGAGAAATCTTTCCTGTTAAAATATTTTATAAATAAAATAAATAAATTATTGAGCTGAGGAATGGCATTTAGTTGTGTCTTTTGACTCTTGAGGCTATTGAAAATAGAGGCTTTATAGTTTCTCAATGTAGAGATATTAACAGAAATTATTTCAGTGTTGCAATATACACTGGACAAAATTATAAACGCAACACTTTTGTTTTTGTCCCCATTTTTCATGAGCTGAACTCGAGGATCTAAGACTTTTTTTACGTACACAAAAGGCCTATTTCTCTCAAATATTGTTCACAAATCTGTCTAAATCTGTTTTAGTGAGCACTTCTCCTTTGCAGAGATAATCCATCCACCTCACAGGTGTGGCATATTAAGATGCTGATTAGACAGCATGATTATTGCACAGGTGTGCCTTAGGCTGGCCACAATAAAAGGCCACTCTCAAAAAAGCATATCTGTATATAGTGTTACTTCAAATTCTGACAGGAGCAGAGATAGCAATAGCCACCCAACGTTTCAGCTTGAAGAGCCTTTCTCAAGGGTGATATAAATATTGTAATATCAAACAAAGAGAAACTGCTGAAAAAAATTATAACAAGAAAAACCTCATAGAGTATTAACTTAAACCAAACAGACTAGTTTCTGTTATGAATGCACTTACAAGAAAATAGAAAACAAAGGCTTATCTCCATCAATTTACATCAGTTTACTTTAAGATGGAGGTATGTCATCAAATACGCTTGTAAAGTAAAGTGAAATTAAATAAGCACGACAGGGCAGAACAGGATAAGAACAAAACAAAAAAAACACAACAAATACAGTAATCTGAAACAAACACAATACTAAAATAACAAGCAACATTTTTCTATTTCAAGTGTCATCTTTTCCAACAGTTTAACGTAAAATGATTATCTTGACATTTAAATACAATAAAATTTGCTGATTTATAAGATCAAAGATCTTTTACCAATTTAACCAAGTTTTATAACGAATCAATTAACACATTATATTGTAACTAATCTTTTAACAAGAAATCAATGTCTCCTTCAAAGAAGGAGAACTACCACGACAACAGGGACATAGACTTAAATTAGAGGGACAAAGGTTTAAAAATAATATCAGGAAGTATTACTTTACTGAGAGGGTAGTGGATGCATGGAATAGCCTTCCAGCTGAAGTGGTAGAGGTTAACACAGTAAAGGAGTTTAAGCATGCGTGGGATAGGCATAAGGCTATCCTAACTATAAGATAAGGCCAGGGACTAATGAAAGTATTTTGAAATATTGGGCAGACTAGATGGGTCGAATGGTTCTTATCTGCTGTCACATTCTATGTTTCTATGTTTTTCTATACGTCTCAGTTTTCACTCAATGTGAATGATGTTTCTTCCAGTGATGATACATTCTTTACATTCGGAAATCATTTTCAGAATTGAGCAAAATGTTTGTCTTTCCAGCAGTTCGGAGCTGTTAGATTAGCTTAATTTTGTAAGCAATATGCCATTTCTGTATGATATTTTTAGGTGCATGCATGAGGAGCACCATTGCCAGGATGAGAAATACAATAAGTATCATGTACCATCATCTCCCACTTGTACTTTTGAAAATAAATGCAATACCGTCGTTGTGTACGGAGAGAAATAACTCTACTTTCATATTGCTATCATAGTGCTGGAGAAGCCTTTAACCCCTTAATGACCAAACTTCTGGAATAAAAGGGAATCATGACATGTCAGACATATCGTGTGTCCTTAAGGGGTTAAATAGGTATCAGTATATTTCACTCACCTTCTTCCTCTTCTCATTCAGTCAGACCTACTTCACTTGCAACACTACTGACAAATTGTTTCTTACTAATTTTGTGAACTAATTTACAACTTTGCCACGTTGATTGCAGCAGAATAATTTCTTAAAATGTAGATGAGGGTTCATTTAAAATTCAGTCACTGATTTTATTTTCTAATACAGTTAACAAATTATGGAACTTAACAAGATTTGCAAAAAAAACAAACAGATTATGGAATTGTGATGTAAATGAATTGTGGTCTTTTTTAGTGGAATCCTGTAATGTACAATATGTATAAAAAATTGACATGAAATTATACAACTAGTTTTGAAGACCTAAAAAAAGAAAATAAACAGTGGTTCTTGTCTTACATAATCATAACCTGACTGTTTCTGTTTTATTGACAAGAAAATAGATTTAATTCTAAAATAAGAAGGGTAATGAGTCACTTAAAGGACCACTCTAGGCACCCAGACCACTTCAGCTTAATGAAGTGGTCTGGGTGCCTGGTCCAGCTAGGGTTAACCCATTTTTTAATAAACCTAGCAGTTTCAGAGAAACTGCTATGTTTATAAATGGGTTAATCCTTCCCCCTAATCCTCTAGTGGCTGTCTCATTGACAGCCACTAGAGGCGCTTGCGTGCTTCTCACTGTGATTTTCACAGTGAGAGCACGCCAGCGTCCATAGGAAAGCATTGTAAATGCTTTCCTATGAGACCGGCTGAATGCGCGCGCAGCTCTTGCCGCGCGTGCGCATTCAGCCGGCGGGGCGTAACGGAGGAGAAGAGGAGGCAGAGAGCTCTCCGCTAGGGGTGGAAAAATGCAAGTTTTAACCCCTTTCCTCTCCCCAGAGCCGGGCGGGAGGGGGTCCCTGAGGGTGGGGGCACCCTCAGGGCACTATAGTGCCAGGAAAACGAGTATGTTTTCCTGGCACTATAGTGGTCCTTTAAACTCAAATAGCCTAATATCATTTACTGAGAATTTTTTTTTTTTCACTTAGGCACATATTTTCACATCACACATTTTATTAGTTTTTCTTTCTAACAACATCTTAATCTGAAGAAAAGCTGTTAAAGTTGTGTCTTATTGAAATGAATAAAATTAGAACAAAAAAACTATGTATTCAACAGTTATCATTTCATTCCTGTTTCCTTAATCTAAGAGTTACAAAAGATGAAAATTAGACAGAAAAAAATTCAGTCCGCCTAATCGATTTGGCTGAAATGTCCAAAAGTTGTTTATAGTCCATTTTGGCTTGGATGAATATCGCAAAAGACTCAGGAAGACAAATACAAGGGGAAATAGTACAGAATAAGGCACCTTTTGTGTTCTGCAGTGCCAAAACGACTACATTATTGCCTAGTGTAGTGATTATGATTAGTGATGTCGCCAACTTGCCGCGAACGGTTCGCCGCGGTTCGCCACGAACCGTTCGTGGCGAACTCCGGTCAGCTGACACATCCCTGCCAATCTCCGGCAGACCCTCCCTCCCAGACCCTCCCACCTCCTGGACAGCATCCATGTTGAAGCTGCCTTCAACATGGATGCTGTCCAGGAAGTAGGAGGGTCTGGGAGGGAGGGTCTGCCGGAGAATGGCAGGGATGTGTCAGCTGACCGGAGTTCGCCACAAACGGTTCGTGGCGAACCGTGGCGAACCGTTCGCGGCAAGTTTGCGAACGGTTCGCGACATCATTAATTATGATATATTTGCTATTTTTGCAAAGCCAATTAGGACTTGACAAAATTATATGATAGCTGAAATAAACAATAGTGAATGAGAGAACTTAGAGTTCTATAATTATTGTTTTTCCTTTTGAAATCATCAATTGATTAAAAAAGGGCAGCAAAGGAAGTAATTTAAATTTAAAAAAAAATGATTTTTCCAAAAAAATTAAAGGAAAACATGAGTGGGCATTTGATGACTTTCTCATCCCTTCCACTCTGAGAAGACCAAATCTTTGCCACACATCCAGTCTGTAGAATAAATGACTGTCATTCAGTATGTTAAAAAGATAGTGCCCTGTCAGATTATACAACCTGCAAAGGCAAAACCACTAAAATTAAAATTATTTGAAAACAATATAACTATCACATTGTAGAATACTTTTTTTTCTAAATATAAGACCTTCCACACTTAGTTCAGGCAGTGATCACCTGTGCAGTAAACTACTACACTTTTTATTTCACTAAAGGTTGCAAAAGAAGATTGCAACTCACAATGCAAAACAAAAGGCACTGAAGCACACTGCAAATTAAATAATCTGTCTCTAACTATAATGTCTATAATAATGTCTCTCACAAGAAAAAAACATCACAAATTAGTAAAACAATTCTTAAATCATTAAATCAAATTTGGACAAAGTAGTATTGGCAGTAGGTAGGCAAGCAGAACTTAAATATAATATATTATTTTAATTAACTGATAATGGGGTACTGCTCCGACTAGGTTTGGTAGTAGTGAAGGAGTACCGCTGGTGGTAGGTGGTGAGAACTGTACATAATCAGATATAGCACTAGTGGGACTGCTACCTGCCCTAAAACATTCTTTTTTGCTTCTTCCCTTACTAATTCTTGTGATGTCTTTTTAGATGTTGGTTGATACCAGCACTAGTGAGATGACCCATCACCCTCACGCTACTCCTACTCACTTCCTTGATGCACAGTTTGCCCTTCTTGATGCACTTTGGGGTTAAGAAAGCACAAGCAACTAACACCAAAAACAATATTGAATTAGGGATAACAACACATAAAAAGTATTGGGGAATTATTATAGATAGCAAATTAGGAAATAATGTGCAATGTCAATCAGCAGTTGCTAAGACCAGTAAAATACTGTCATGTATAAAAAGGGGCATTCATTCTTTGAATGAAAATATAATTTTGCCTCTTTATATATCAATGGTAAGACAGCACCTTGAATATGCTGTGCAATTCTGGGCACCTGTTCTAAAGCAGGATATTATAGCACTAGAAAAGGTGCAGAACTTGGCTATAAAATAAAATAAAAGGAATGAATATTTAATTCATAAATAAAGGTTAACAAATTTAAATCTATTTAGTTAAGAACAAATGTGTCTCAAATTGGATATTATAGCATTATACAAATATAGTCAGGGACAATACAAACCATTGTCTGGCAATCTGTTCTTAAACAGAAATATGCATATGACACAAGGTCTCCCATTTTAACTGTAAGAAAGTAAATTTAGTCCAAGATCAATGAAAGAGTGTTGTACAGTAGAACAACAAGCATGTTGAATCCTCTGTCTGTACAGATGTTTAAACAGCAACTGGATGAATACTTGCAAACACATAGTATTCATATATTTTTAGTATGTTGGGCAATAGTTTCTTGATCCAAGGAGAGATCTGACTGCCATTCTGGGGTTGAGAATGATTTTTTAACCTGGTTTAATGCAAAATTGGAAAGAACTTCCAACTGTGTTTTTTGCCTTCTCTTGGATCAACAGTAAAACCAGATACATGAAAGGCAGAACTTCATACTTATTTTGTTTTACAAAATTAAATATAAAACTGTGAAATAAAAAAAAAAAATAGCAAGATAATTTTTCCAGATTCAAGTATCAAAATTAATCATATGGATATCAGAAAAAAAGGAAAACAGATGCGAGAAAGGCGGAACTTCATGATTATTTTGTTTTACAAAATTAAATATAAAACTGTGTAAAAGGAAAACAGATGTGAGAAAGGATGAACTTGATGAGAGCATGTCTCTTTTCACCAGATTTAACTATGTAACTAAATATAAAAGAAGCAAATTAAAACTAATGTGGGTTAGTAACAGTCAGTAAAGTGATAAACAGCAAGAGAATGAAATTCAAAACATTTAAATCAGATTGGTGAATAAAATCCTACATAAAAGTAATGGTATTAATGGTAAATGTTCAAGCAGGGTTCTGTTTTGGGACCGCTTCTTTTTAACATAGTTACATAGTTACATAGCTGAAAAGAGACTTGGGTCCATCAAGTTCAGCCTACCTCACATTTGATTTTTGCTGTTGATCCAAAAGAAGGCAAAAAACCCATTTTGAAGCACAATTTTGCAACAAGCTAGGAAAAAAATCCTTCTTGACCCCAGAATGGCAGTCTGATTTATCCTTAGATCAAGCAGTTATTACCCTACATTGAAAGATTATATCCTTGAATATTCTGTTTTTGCAAGTATGCATCTAGTAGCTGTTTGAACATCTGTATGGACTCTGATAAAACCACTTCTTCAGGCAGAGAATTCCAAATCCTGATTGTTCTTACAGTAAAAAAGAACTTTCCTTTGCCTTAGACGAAATCTTCTTTCTTCCAGTCTAAACGCATGACCTCGTGTCCTATATAAAGTCCAGTTTGTGAATAGATTTCCACACAATGGTTTGTATTGAGCCCCGAATATATTTGTATAATGTTATCATATCCCCTCTCAGGCGACGTTTTTCTAAACTACATAGGTTTAAATTTGTTAACCTTTCTTCATAGCTGATATGTTCCATTCCTTTTATTAATTTTGTAGCCTGCCTTTGCACTTTTTCTAGTGCCATAATATCCTTCTTTAGAACAGGTGCCCAAAATTGCACATCATATTCAATATGGGGTCTTACCAGTGATTTATAAAGAGGCAAAATGATATTCTTGTCCTGAGAATGAATGCCCTTTTTCATGCCTTGGCCACTGCTGATTGACATTGCACATTGTTACATAGTTTGTTGTCTATAACGATTCCCAAGTCCTTTTCGTGTGTTGTTATCCCTAATTCGCTTCCATTAAGGGTATACGTTGCTTGTGTATTCTTTATGCATAACTTTGCATTTTTCAACATTAAATTTCATCTGCCATTTCAGTGCCCAGTCCCCCAGTCTATCTAAATCCCTCTGCAGCAAAGTAATATCTTGCTCACATTGTATTATTTTACAAAGTTTTGTGTCATCTGCCAACACTGAAACATGACTTCCAATGCTGTCTTCAAGATCATTTATAAACATGTTAAATAGAAGGGGTCCCAGAACAGACCCCTGAGGGACACCACTTGCCACCTCTGTCCAGCTTGAAAATTTACCATTAATGACAACTCTTTGTACTCTGTTTTTAAGCCAATGTTCTACCCAAGAACAAGCATTTTCATCTAGACTGATTTCCTTGAGTTTGAACACTAATCTATCATGTGGAACTGTATCAAATGCCTTGGCAAAATCCAAATAGATCACATCCACTGCAACACCCTGATCTATACTTCTACTTACTTCTTCGTACAACGTTATCAAGTTAGTTTGACATGACCTGTGCTTCATAAAACCGTGCTGATTTTTGCTGATAACCATGTTCTTCTCAAGGAATTCTTGAATATTATCCCTTAATAACCTTTCAAATATTTTCCCAGCCACAGAAGTTAAGCTCACAGGTCTATAATTTCCAGGCAAGGATTTTGAACCCTTTTTGAATATAGGAACCACATCTGCCTTCCTCCAATCCTCCGGAACACTTCCTGAAAGAAAAAAATCTTGAAAGATTAAAAACAGAGTTTCACTTATTTCTACCCTAGTTCCTTAAGTACTCGTGGATGGATACCGTCAGGCCCTGGAGCTTTGCTTATATTAACTTTCTTTAGTTGCTGCAGAACCTTGTCTTGAGTTAACCAATTACAATTATTCTGCAAGTTTTTAGTAACAATCATTTGCACATCTATTGCCATGGGTTCTTCCTTAATATATACGGAGGAGAAGTTGTTATTTAAAATTCCTGCCTTTTCCTGGTCTTCATTAACTAACACCCCCGTTTCAGTTTTTAGTGTACATACACTTTCATTTTTGGGTTTTTTAGAATTTATGTACTTAAAAAAATGCTTTGGGGTTGGTTTTGCTCTCTTTAGCTATCATTTCTTCATTTTGAAGTTTAGCAAATCTAATTGCCTTTTTGCACGCATTATTTGCTTCCTTATATCTTTTATAAGATGCATCTGATTTGTCCGATTTAAACGCTTTAAATGCCCTTTTATTTTTAATCTCTTGTTTTACTTCTCTACTAAGCCACATTGGTTTTAATTTGTTTCTTTTATATCTATTTACAAATGGTACATACTGAGAAATGTACCTTACTAATATTTGTTGATGATCCATTTATCCCCAGTGTTCTTTTCACTAAAGAGTTTATGCCAGTCAATATATTGTAAAGCTGCCCTTAACTTATTGAAATTGGCCTTTTTAAAATTATATGTTTTAGTATACCCCATGTGCTTTTGTTTTTTTGAGTTTATTTCAAAGGACACTATACTGTGATCACTATTTCCCAAGTGATCCCAAGTGATCACCAAGTGATCACCAACTTGAATGTTTGTCAAAAGATCAACGTTGTTTGTTAAAACCAGGTCCAGACAAGCGTCCACTCTAGTTGGTGCTTGTACAAGTTGTGACATGAAGGTGTCATTTAACAAGTTTAAAAACCTAATTCCCTTTCCTGAGCTACTAGTCCCTCTGTCCCAATTTATGTCCGCGTAATTAAAATCTCCAATAATTAAAGTGTTACCCAGATTTGCAGCTTTCTCAATTTGCTCAAACAGCTGTTGTTCCTCGTCAATATTAACATTAGGTGGTTTATAACATTTCCCAAC